GCTCCTTATCACCAGGCCACAGAGCTCCACAGAGGACATTTTCCCTTATTTCTGGGATATCAATTACACAATAACTGATACTGCTGAGTGATTGAAATGTGTATTGGCAAAATATAATAATGAATCCCTATTGGAATAATATACTTTAAAATTCTATCCAAACATTTTACTATTTTGCTGGCTGTATTGGACACACCTTGAATTACTAAGAGAACAAATAGGTCTGTCCTGGAGTGGGTGAAACCAAATTGCTCTCAGGAGGCAAGGACTGTGAAGCTCCATCAGACATATTTTGAGCACGTGGCCAAGAGTGACCAATCCCAGGAGAAGAACGTTATGTTTGGTAGGGTGGAGGGACAGAACAGGAGAGAAAGAACCTGGATGAGATGGATTAACACAGTAACTAGGGTAATAGGGGCAGGTGTGTTGGAGTCGGTGAGACTGGTGCAGGAAGCTTCAGAGCTTCTGTTCAGCTCTTTAGTATCTTGAATTCTTCCTTCTGCTTTGTCTTCTCTGTGCTATGTACAACAAGAGGATAAAGGAGAAAACAACATACATTTGGAAGCTGAACAACACCTTACTAGAAAAAAGAAAAAATAAAATTAAAAGGTTTATTGAAACAAATGACAATGAAAACATCACTTACCAAAACCTCTGGGAAATAGTCAAAGCAGTAATCAGAGGTCAATTTATAGACATAAGCAAACACATCAAAAGGCAGGAAAAAATGACCATTGACTCTGTAACCCAGCATCTCCAAGAAACTGAAAAAGAACAGCAAGAAACCTGACACCCTCTAAAAAACCTGAAATTGTAAAAATTAGAGCCAAACAAATTATATAGAAAACTGAAAAACAATTGAAACCATGAAAAAAACTAGGAGTTGAAAATCGACAAACCACTAGCAAAACTAACAAAAGAAAAGGGAAAGACACAAATAATCTGAATAAGAGATTAATCAGGCAATATTACAACAGAATCAACAAAAAAAAGGCTAACATTAGAATATTATAAAAACTATACTCAAAAAAATATGAAAACCTAGAGGAAATGGACTAAGAAATGCACAACCTGCCTAAACTGACACAAACTGAAATTGAACACCTGAACAGACCCATTATAAAAGAAGAAATTGAAAAAGTAATAAAACAACTTATAGTGGGGAAAAAAGCCCTGGATCAGATGATTTTACAACTGAATTTTGTCAAACATTTAGAGAAGATCTGTCACCAATTCTACATAAACTATTTCAGGAAATAGAAAAAGATGGAATTCTCCCACACTCATTCTATGAAGCAAATATATCCTTGATACCAAAGTCAGGTCAAGACACCAAAAAAATAGAAAACTATAGGCCAATATATCTCATGAACATTGTCACAAAAGTCCTGAATAAAATCTTGGCCATCAGAATACATTGATACATCAAAGAAATAATTCACCGTGATCAAGTGGAATTCATAACAGGCATGCAAGGATGATTCAACATAGAAAAGCAATCAATGTAATTCATCACATTAACAAAGCAAAGAACAAGAACCACATGATCCTATCAGTTGATGCAGAAAAGGCCTTTGACAAAATCCAACATCCTTTCCTGATTAAAACACTCAACAAAATAGATTAGAGGGGAATTTCTTCAACAGAGTAAAAACTATATACGCAAACACAAGAGCTAACGTTGTTCTCAATGGAGAGAGATTCAAGGCATTCCCCTTGAGAACAGGAACTGGGCTAGGATGCCCACCATCACCTCTCCTATTCAAAATTGTATTGGAAGTCTTAGCGATAAGACAAGAGAAGGAAATAAGAGGTATCTAAATTGGCAAACAGGAGGTAAAATTATCTCTATATGCAGCTGATACGATAGTATACTTAGAAAACCCTAAAGATTCAGCAAGAAAACTACTGGACATAGTTGACCAATTCAGCAAAGTATCAGGAACGTGCAGGCTGGATTTAGAAGAGGTCATGGTACTAGGGATATTATAGCTAATGTTAGATGGATCTTGGCAGAAAGCAGAGAATACCAGAAGAATGTCTATCTGTGCTTCATTGACTATGCAAAGGCTTTTAACTATGTGGGTCACAACAAGCTATGGTTGACTCTGAGAAGAATAGGAATCCCAGAACATTTGATTGTGCTAATGCGAAACTTATACTTGGACCAAGAGGCAGTCGTCAGAACAGAGCAGGGAGACACTGGATGGTTCAAAATCAAGAAGGGGGTCCTTCAGGGATGTATTTTGTCTCCATACCTTTTCAATCTGTTTGCAGAATATATCCGAGATGCTGGGCTGTACGAGGAGGAATGTGGCATCAAGATCGGTGGAAGATTCATCAACAACCTGTGTTATGCAGATGATACAACCCTGCTTGCGGAAACTGAGGAGGACCTGAAGCACTTGCTGCAGAAGTCAAGGACTGCAGTCTTCAATATGGATTGAAGCTCAACATCAAGAAAACAAAGATTCTTACCATTGGGCCAATTGGCAGCATCAGTATGGATGGCGAAGAGATTGAGAGAGTTAACAGTTTTAGTTTGCTTGGTTCCACAGTCAACACTCTTGGTAACAGCATCCAGAAAATCAGGAGATGAATTGCATTGGGAAAGTCAGCTGTGAGGGACCTCTCAAAAGTACTGAAGAGCAAAGATGTCAGGCTAGAGACTAAGGTGCTCCTGATCCAGGCTATAGTCTTTGCAATTACGTGCTATGCATTGGAGAGTTGGACAGTGACTAGGGATGGTAGAAAGAGAATTGATGCCTTTGAGCTGCAGTACTGGAGTGTTGAATATACCATGGACTGCTCCAGGTTTGTCCTGGAGAGGTTTAAACTAGACTGCTCCTTGGAGTCAAGGGTTCTGAAGCTTCGACTGACATACTTTGGGCATGTTGCAAGGAGGGACTGGTCCTTGAAGAGGGACATCATGTTTTGGAGAGTGGAGGGATGGCGCAGGAGAGGAAGACACTCGATAAGATGGATTGATTCTGTTAGTAGAGTGGAGGGAATGAGTGTGTTTGAGACGGCGAGGTTGGCACAGGATAGAAAGGCATTTAGGGCACTTGTACATAGGGTTGCTATGAGTCGCAAGCGACTCAATGGCACATAATAACAACAACAACATCAGGATACAAGGTCAACCTAGAAATCAGCCCATCTACCTATAGTCAATTGATTTTTGTCAAGAAGATGAAATCAGTCAAGCAGTTAGGGCAAAGTTCCAGTCCAGTGTTGGCAAAATTGAAAACTATGTGTAGAAAACTCAAGCAAGATGCACACCTCACTCTGTACACAAAAACCATCTCAAGGTGGATCATGGACCTAGGACTAAAACCAAGAACTATAAACTTCATTAAATAAAAGTTTGGAAGAACTCTAGAAGTCCTAACCAACAACATCAACAGTCTTCCAAGCATCCTGGAAAATCTACAATCAAGAGAGGATAAAATAGACGAACGGGAACTTCTAAGAATCAAATCCCTATGCACATTCTCTAACAGGATAAAAAGGTTAGCCACATACTGTAAAAAAGTATTTGGTAAGGACATGTCATATAAGGAACTTATATTTAGAATTTATAAAACATTTGAGCACCACAACAAGACAAAGGTAAACAACTCAACTAAAAAATGGGCACTGGATATGAGCAGACACTTCACCAAAGAAGACATTCAGATGGCAAACAAACACATGAAGAAATGTTCAAAATCCATAACTCTAAGAGAGATGCAAATCAAAACAACTATGAGATATCATCTCACCCCAGTAAGAATAGCAAAATTTAATAGAACAGCAAGCAACACATGCTGGCGAGGTTGTGGAGAGACTGGAACCCTTATTTCACTGTTGGTGGGAGTGTAAAATGGTGTTGCCACTATGGAATGCAGTATGGTACTTTGTTAAAAAGTTGCAAATAAAAATACCATTTGATTCATCAGTTCCACTGTAGGTAATATAGCCCAAGGAAACCATAAACACCACCCAAGCACACCCATATTTATAGAAGCTTTCTTTCACAATAGCAAAGAGTTGGAAACAACCTAAGTGCCCATCAACAAACAAATGGATAGAGCAGCTGTGTTGTATTCACACAATGGAATACTATACTGCCTTGAAAAACAAGGAACTCATGAAATATTATACAAAATGGAGGACATTATGCTGAGTGAAATATATCAGTCACAAAAGTACAAATACTGAATAGTGTCGCTGTTGTAAAATGAAACTGACATCTAGGTTGGGGGGAGACTAAGAAAGATGGGATAAGTTATGCATACTGCACTGAAATAGATCATAGAAAGAACTGTTTTAAAGGGATATATGATTAGGTATTATTGTCATGACAGGAGTCCAGGACGAAGGCTGCATAGTGGAGTGAACTTGAGGGGAGGGATTGTAGAACAATGAAAGAATTTTTCTTTTACTTTTCAGAGAAGAACAAACTGGAGGGGAGGGGTGGTCAGTGAGAAAATTGCAATAATGAATAAATGGAAATCCAAAATCTCTGTAAATTTTCATTAAAATTAATAATAAATTTTTTTTAAAAAAAAATAGTTCCTCTCATTTTATTTTTTTTACTTCTGGTCCTTCTGGAACTACTTGACAATTCAAGATGTCCCTCTGGATGCTACAGCAAATGTAAATTTAGGGTGCACTCAGAGAGTCCAGTGGAAGGTGGAGGACAGCTTGCCGTATCTTTCCACTACTACTTAAGCACTTATTAACTCAAGGCACTGTTTTTAACATTGGGGTGGGGACAGTTCACGTTAAAGATTATAAAGAAGTTGGGAAATGAAAGCGTCTCTGACCTCCAACTCATAGGACTGAGCTTTGGCCTGTCCTGGTTCTTATCACAAAGGAATCTACATAAATTCTGATGCTACCAATAGAGTTACAAATATCAACCTAGATTTTTGTGTATTAGTGTTTTCTTTCCTTCTACTTTGCTAAGTATTACACAAACTTAAAAAAGACAACTAATAAGCCCATATGAAAACCTGTAGATTTTTTTGATGTTTCTCTTCCTGTAGCAGAAGGTCAATTTGGTGTTTATCATTTGCTTCTTCAAGGGCTTTCTCCACTGCTTTTTCCTGGAATTCCTTGGCCTTTGAAAGGAAGAATCCATTTATTGATACACTGTGGTTAGCATGTTGTGCTAGTGACGCATTGTGATTAATCATTATTTAAGATGTCGGTAAACTAGGTTTTCAAGTTAACTGAAAATTAACAACCTCCATAGGCTCCCTAATACTTGCTCTGTTCTCATCTCAAACCTTACATCACTAACTGGTTGCATTACCCAGAGATGTCCTAATAGCTCCTATCACTTTCAGGAATTGCTAAAGTGAGTGCAGCTTTACTGTGGGTTTCTAGGTTCTTAATTCTTTGGAAATGTACTTCTTGCTTGATTTTTAAAATAATCTACTGCCATTGAGCACTATTAAAACAAGCTTGGAAGCAGGAGTGGCATCCACTTCCAAAATAGCTTGCCTTCGGAAACTTTATGAACTTGGAGAAACGATGAAAGTTATACACGTGTTCAGGTCTTTCGTTCATAGAGTCACTATGAGTCATCTACAACTGGACAGCACTTAGTAACAACAACTACCATTGAGGGAACTCTGTGGCCTAGTGGTAAGGAGTTCCACTGCCAAATTAAAGTAATGCAATTCAAATCCATCAACTGCACCAGAGAGAGCAATCTCCTCCCGTGTGATTTACTGCCTCTGAAGACCCAATTGAGAGTCAGCTGTCAGTTGGTTCTAGCTCGGGACACATAACAACAGTAACTGTTCATCAGCACTGTTGTGTACATTCACAAAGAATAGGTCATTATGCAAAAATGGAGAATAACTATATCAGATTGCAAACAGGACAGTGACTACATCATTACTTTACTGCCAAATTTTATCATTATATAACCACTGAGAATGATGCCTAGCAAAGTTGACACACCTTAATTATAATGCTACTCTAGCTCACATTTGTTATTGTGCAATGTGCATCATTAAAGTGAAAAATAGTTAAACAGTAGCTTTTTACAATTAGAAATGCCAGATCACCAGATGGCAATGATGAGTAGGTATATCCTCATTGTAGAGTAATGGGAAAATTGAGAAAAGTGTAAATACAGACAAAGCTGGAAACTGAGTCAGTACTATGCTAGATCCCCTGCATTGGATCTTTAGAAATAAATTTTATTACTTTGTTTGGTTTGAAGACTAAGAATACTAAGTAGACATATATTCAAACTATATATAATTTACAAAAATATTCCATTTTACTGTTGTTATTGTCATGCGCCATTGGGTCAGAACCAACCCATATCTGATCCTCCAGTGGGTTTTCAGAGCAGTTAATCACTCGAGAGGAGATGGCCCATCCTTCTCCTGCAGAGCTGCTGGTGGATTTGAACCATGCGCCTTGGTGATAGCAGCACAGCTTCTTAGCACTAGGCCACCAGAGCTTCCTCTCTTTTACTAAAAAATATAATTAATGATTTGGACTTCATTTTAATTTTATTATTATTGATTTAAAAAACACTGCTAGGAATTTTATGTGTGTGTGTATTTATTTATAATAGAGTATATTTTTCTTTCAAAATAGTTCCATTCTAAACTCTTGCTGGAACTCATACTGGAAAAATCCAATATTGTTTGCTATGATATCCACTTTATAAAGAAACAGAGAACTAACATTATTCCAAATGTTGTGGTTTGCCCTTCCGTAGGAAAAATTGTAATTCTTTTTAGCAAATCATTTATACTTTCTATTTTTTATTAGTAGAAGTGGAAACTAGGAGATTAAAGTTTAGTTCATTTAAGTATCTGGAATTTCACTGTGAGCCCTGGCACACTTTAATGGCTCCATGACACTCAGCAGTTAAATGGGTAAGGAATCAAGGGTTTTAGAGAAAAGTGGAATAGAGAGATAAAAATGGGGCATCTAGGGGAAACAGGCACTTAGATGGGGTTATTAAACCTGTGCAAATGATCTATATGTTAAAATTTTGGCAACAGTAAATCATGAACAAGAATGTTGATTCTTATTTACTGGTTGTTGTCATGTACTGTCATGTTGAACTGACTCATAGCTGACCTAGCAGCAGATTTTCAGAGGCAGTAAAATTGCACAGGAGGAGATTGCCCATCTTTCTCCCTCAGAGAAGCTGGTGGATTTGAACTATGTACCTTCGGGTTGGTAGTACAGCTTCTTACCATTAAGCCACCAGAGTTCATTTATTTATTTAGTGTTCCCAAAAGAGAATAAAAAGAGCAGGAGTCATCCAGCTCGAGTACACAATATTTCAGGGAGCCCTTCAACAAAGCTGTACAATGGGTATTATTATCTCCCTCTTACAGGTTAAGAAGCTGACCCTCAGAAGTGGAAGAATTTTCTCAAAGTCCTACAGCTGGCCAGAGAGGGAGGGAGAAGGCGTCACTGGGCAAGGTCACCTCGGATAACAGCAGAGGGAGGCGTCTTCCAGGTCAGACCCAGGGAAACCCAGCCAGAGAGGGAGGGAGAAGGCTTCACTGGGCAAGGTCACCTCGGATAACAGCAGAGGGAGGAAAACAAAATCTACACAAGAGTTCTACAGGACACATCAACTTCCCTTGGAGACAGTACAACTAAACTTAAGAGACACTGGTCAAAAGAAAAA